CAGTGTTGTAGAGTAGTGCGACGGAGCAATACATGTGTGAGCATGCAAAGTTCTGGTGCTCCGTCCACTTTCCATATCCCTCTTTGTAAGCGTATTGTGTCTGTGCCGACACAGGGCACTCAAAATACATGACGAATCAAAAGCCTCTGGAGAGATTGGTGTTAGGAAGAGGAGTGAGAGAGAGCTCTCGGAGGCCCCCAGGATGTTCTTTCTCGAAATTCCAAACTGAGGCGGAAGCTTAACAGTTAAACTACAGTAGTAAGTCAATCACTCATGGCCCTACAGAGAAGCTAGCCTGGCTTTTACTTGTTCCTATTATTTTAATGTCCGCAAGTGGCAGCGTTTTGATTGTACGCAGAAGTTGTGCCTTTTGTTAAATTGAAAGTTTTAACAATAGTATTTATCTTAAATCTTCATAGGATTTCGTTGTATTTACACAGACGGTGCGAAAACTCCCTTGGATATCTAACATTTTAGTTAGTGTTACACAAGTTAGGATCCTGCAAAGTTCTCTTTCAGTTTTTTCTAGCATTAATAATAGAAATATTCTTCAATTATTAAAAACAAAAACTTTAAAGGTTATATAATATACTATACACTGCATCCTATAAAAATCCAAAGATTTTAAGAAAGAAGAGAGAAAACGTTGAATGCACTGTTTCGGTCCATCTTAATTCGAAATGAGTGCAGATAGAAATCAGACACCATAGCTTCTTTTCGTTTCGTCTGATAATTAAAATTAGTGTTGAACATAGTCTCAATAACTGTAAGCCATCGAATCATCAGGATTACTCTCTTCAGCTTGGAGAAGTTATTGCCTGGGCATATACAAAGAATTCTGACTGGCTGATTGAACCTCAAATGGTAAATCGTTCAAGAGGTTAGAAAAGATTTCTGGCGCAGATCTTCAAAACTGTGAGAGTGAGTTGATGACAATTACGTTTAATTGGGGATATGGAAGGTTCTCGAAACGCGTAAAAAAGTAAATAAATAATGCGATTAATAAATCGTTTTAAATAAAATGTCCAATTTAAGTCACTGAAAATTTTAAGTAACTGCCAGGAAGAAAATTTAACCGTAAACACTCCTATGTAACAAATAAAAATTTAAAAAAATTTTAATATCTAATTTTACCAGAGTTTCAAACATAATCCTGCTATATAATAAAAAAAAACGGTTCAAAGTACGTATATAAATGTCCGCAACTTAGTAAAAGATGATATAATGATAAATTTTGTACATTATTGCTTAACCCTCTCCCTGCGTACGTTTTTTTATTAAAATAGGTTCAAAAATTGCGTATTTTTTGTTACATATTTCAAATCTACATATATTTTAGAGTTGAAATACGAATTTTGTATATTTTACAGTTAATATATATAAAAATGTTTTGTAAAAGAGGTTTTTTTCAGTGTAGAATTAGATCATAGAAAAAGGTTGTCAGAATACTGGAATTCAAGAATAATGATATAAAAGGAATAATTTTGAAAATTAATAGTGGTTAATTTATGATTTATTTTATAAAATACAAAGGTAAAAAATATATATATACTAATGAAAATATTTGCATAATGTAAAATTTTGCATATCAATTTTGCACCACTGTCGAACGTTTTCATTAGAAACTGAATTTTCAGATTCATTACTATCTGCAGGGGAATCCGAAAAATTCTCATCAGTTTCGCTATAACTATCTTCAATATCCGTGAAATCAGAGTCAGAACTACTACTAGTGTCGGAAATCTCGTCAGGAATATAGGTTATATCACTCGCGTAACGCTTTCTGCCAGACAACTTTGAGCTCTGAAAAGCGCGCGCAAAATGCTACATTACGTATTCTTGTATATTTGGCAGAAATGTGGACAACTAACGCCATCTGTTAGCCCACACCTAAATAAACAATTAATCATCACAGAAAAGCCGAAAGGAAACATTTGAACGGGGAAAGAGTGGGTTGCACAGTTAAATAAATGGCAAAAATTCATCCCCGCGGAAATCGTGGGTTGCGCAAATTTTGCTACTTTTACATTGATGCAGAGCAAGAGGGTTAAACAGTGTGTTTCATTCGCTTATCAGTTGCAAGTTATAAACTAGCTAAAAATGCACATATTAGCCCAATAATACAACAATAAATTATATCCACCTGGTAAAATACCTATGACTGTGTTCTGTGTTGTCATATATGAAGAAGTTATTGCTTGGGCCTAGCAAATAAACTATATAGGTTTTGTTCAGATGTTAAATATAGAACCTCCATATTAAACATGTTATTACCAAGTTTCGTGACAGTAAATTTGCATTTTACCTCTCAATTAGTAGAAATAGTGTTTTAGCATTTGCCGAAAAGTAGCTTATTTATAAGAATATATAGTGTACCCTACTAGTTAAACTTGCTCAGTTTGGGAATATCTCTTAAAAACCACTTTTTCAAAAATTCAAAAGGCTGAAATGCAACACTCAGGCAGATTACTAACAGCGGTTGGCTTGCACTCAGAGCCGCAATTCATAATGAATATAGCGTCCTTACAATCATGGGGCCGAGCGGTAAAGACGTTGAACACTGGTAGTTTGGTCCGAGGTTCGAATCCCGCGAACGGGCTGGCTGCATGGGCGTTTTCGTGGTTTTCCCCATGTGTAACGGGTATACGAGCCAGTTTCCTTTAGAAAGTCCTCTACGAAGGCATCCCTCCCTTTAGGCAGATAGCCCTCGTGTGCTTTGCCATAACTGAATAATCCAATCCAATCCAATCCTTACGATCATATTATTCATTGCTAAAATTTCCAGCAATTTTCTAAAAATATGAAAAACTTCAATAATTACTCAACGCCAATTTTAAATTGTTATGTCAATATCTATGATAACAGAAAGCGAGCAAGAGCCACAGTTAGATTCCAATATTTTTCTATCTCGACATACTGAAATTAAAGCACCTCATTAAAGTTCCTGCACTTACCCATGGTCAACGCTAGGCATTCTGCCGCCCGGTGAAATCTCTGTGGCTTATAAATTCTGCTGTGCATTAGCTTCCTAAATTCTTAGACTTTTCCCGTCCCTAAATTCTGCTGCGCATCAGTTCCCTAAATTCTTAGACTTTTCCCGTCGTTAATTTCTACAGCCTATTGCCTCCCTTAAATTCTTAGAAATTTATTATCCCTAAATTTTCTGTTCGGACTCCTCTAAATTCTAAAATTGTCACCTGCACTAATTTCTGCTACCCCAGACTGCAGAATTCAGCGCTCTGTGGCGCGTAGCACGTTTTTGGTGCCCGCCACATATTTGCCTATCCAGTGTCAGTTGATGAGAGGGTAAAGCTCCTTGTAACTCGCTGATCGTTTTTACTGATGCTTAATTAAACTAATTAAGTTTTATTAACGTTCATATTCGAATTAACTTTATTATCGTTCTCTGAAATTTGTATTTTAATACAAATAGTTATCTCCCCAAATCTGGCCATACCCCTAAGATTTCGAATGTTCTTCTTAGAGTCTACTTCATCTCAAAACCAATTTCTTGCTTTAGAAACTCACATTTGTTTCTCAATCATAATCTTGGTTACAGTTTTCTACATCCTGCTATGTCCCCCTTTTTTTTTTATCTGATCGTCGCAAAGCTATCATCAGAGTCTGAAAATTGTTCAGCAAATTATATTGTGATAGGGCATTGTTAAGATGCTCGCAATATAAACGTTCTGTTGAACTCAGATCTATTAAATTCACAACTCATGATACGTTTACATTTACAAAGCTATCATTTTCCAGTACTAAGCTAATAATTTTGTTGAATTTATTTTTTAATTTAACATTACTCACAGTTTATTATTTTAATATTTATTAGTAAATACTTTTGTTTACTCATAATACTACATATTTATTTTCGCCAATGAATATAATGTTTAGTTTTATGAATAACTTAATCTTATGAAGTTTTCTAGAATGGGAACGTCTGTGATGGGAACTGGTGCATGCTAACATCGGAAACGTCGTGAATTTCACATCCGCATCTCATTGCATGCTGTTTTACCTTTTTCTCAATTTTAATTTTAGCCTCTGTTAAATTAACTTCACTGTCTCGCAGAGCCGTAGCTATGGTTTTCAGCGCCCGGGGACAAACGACGATTTCGCACACTGTTATTTCTAATCCATAGTTCTTTTTGGGAGAGCTTTCGATTTCTATATTCGATTCAAATCATTACTTCAATTAAGTCTTAAAGACTTTTTATTTACACACATATTTTATATTACAATACATACATAATTCGAGATTTATTTCAAATCAAAAGATGGGGATTATCCCCCTTCTCATCAAATTCTATCATGAGAAACCGAGTGAGCGACAGCTACCCTCCAAGTTCGTTTTTCGACTCCTCTTTGCCACTGGCAGAAGCGAAACTTTCGCTTATTTCGTGTTCGAGTTGTAACACACACCTTTCTGTTAGTGGAAAGCATTTCATTCTCAAATTTCTTAAAATCAGTTTGGCGCCCCATAGATGCTGCGCACAAATGTCCCCTCCTTGCCCCAATCTAGCAACACCACTGCTTTCCCTATGAAAGACTGCACATTAAATTACTATAAATAACTTAAATTTTACTGTAACTTAATGTCATGCTGGGATTATTACTATCAAGTTTAATTTTTTTGATTAAGTTATTTCTCATTTATATAATTTATAAGGGATATTAATCGGAGAACAGTAAGACGACGAATATAAAAAGAATGAGAAATAACTTTCTTTCTCTTCTTTCAGCTACTGATGGCTTAAAATGATAATTAGTAGCAAACGGGGAGTAATTTTTAATCTACTCTGTTTCGTAGTAAGCTGCCTTTTGATCGAAATGTGCTGCATTCGAGGACTTTCTTCTTTGCAAAGATTTGCATCCAGTGTTGCATCCTTTATTTTGCGTCAATGTCTTTTTTTCCTACTAAACTTCTTAATCATTTGGAATAATATTTGTTCGTAAATTGGCAACAGTTCAATTTTTATTTCAGGGAATGGCAACAAATCGCCCGGTACTTTTCATTTGTCGTGTATTTTGTTTGCAAAGGCACTTGTCAAGTTTTGAATGCAGTTATTTTTTCTCTGTACAGTTCTGTAACATTATTTAGGTACTATGGAAGAATGCTGGGACGATGAAGAGTATACCCCTCCTCCTTCTTCCAATGCATATAAAGAATCTGTTTATGTGCCTCCCGGAAAGCGAGTAAGTGAAAGTGGAAGAAACTCTGAATGGAACTCTAACCGAACTAGAGAACCTTACAGAAATCAAGACACAGATTCGTGGAGAGAAAAACCTAGAGGTAATAATCGTCAGTTTTCTAGTAGAGGAAGAAAGCAGTATTCCCATGATGGATATAATACAAACTCAGCATGGAAGCAGAATGAAGAAGCTACTGAAATTGAAATCGGCTCGAATTTTGTAGGTAAAGTTATAGGTCGTGGTGGTTCCAAAATTCAAGAATTAGAAAGAGAAAGTGGGGCTCGAATTAAAGTCCTGCAGAACGACAGCAGCGATGAAACGACTCCTGTTCGATTAACTGGCTCATCTGAATCTCGCGAGAAAGCAAAAAATTTAATCGAAGAATTGACTTCGAATTTTGGAAGGACTACTATTACAAACGAAGGTGGTGATAATTCATGGTATGGAAATTCGTATGCGTCATCCACAGATGATGGTCCCAAACTTATAGATTGGGACTCACTGAATAAGAGTTGTGAAGAGGCAAGACAACGAAAGCTAGCAGCTCTGCCCCCAATTATAAAAGAATTTTATTTCGAAGATCCAGCGGTTGCAGCAATGAGCCCCAGAGAAGTTTCTGCATTCAGAGCATCAAATAATTCCATATCTGTTGTTAAAATTAACCCTGATGATGAGAGACGGATTCCTAATCCTGTTTCTACGTTTGATCATGCTTTTCAACATTACCCAGAATTGTTGGTAGAACTTAAAAAACAAGGTTTTACCACTCCTTCTCCGATTCAGTGTCAAGCATGGCCTATTATTATGAAAGGTTATGACATGATAGGTATTGCTCAAACTGGAACTGGTAAAACCATTGCCTTTCTGTTCCCTGCATTAATTCATATTGTGGGTCAAGTTACACCCAGAAGTCAACGATTGGGGCCAAGCTGTCTCATTCTGGCACCCACTCGGGAACTTGCTCAACAGATTGAAGTTGAAGCTAAGAAGTATACTTATCATAATATTACTAGTGTTTGTGTCTACGGTGGTGGAAGTAGACGAAACCAGATTGGAATTGTCACAAAAGGTGTTGATATTGTGATAGCCACTCCAGGTCGTCTGAATGATTTGGTTATGAACAAAATAATTGACGTTACCAGTGTAACATACCTTGTATTAGATGAAGCTGACCGCATGTTAGATATGGGTTTTGAACCTCAGATACGCAAAGTGCTCCTTGATGTCCGTCCAGATCGGCAGACAATAATGACAAGTGCGACCTGGACAAACGAAGTGCAAGAACTGGCTGCTCGGTATATGACAAATCCATTTAAAGTAAATGTTGGTGCGCTTGATTTAGCTGCGGTTCACTCTGTATCTCAGGAAATTATATTTGCGGAAGATGAAGACAGAAGGAATCTTTTAAATGAATTCATTGCTAACATGTCACCAAATGATAAAGCGATAGTTTTTGTGGAAAGAAAAAGTGTTGCTGACGATGTTGCAAGTGATTTAGTATTACGTGGTGTAGAGTGTCAATCCATTCATGGAGACAGAGAGCAGTGTGATCGAGAACAAGCTCTTGATGATTTAAAAACTGGTTATGTAAGGATTTTGATTGCAACTGATGTTGCTTCACGAGGTTTAGATATCAAAGATATAACGCACATATTTAACATGTATTTCCCTCATAATATTGAAGAATATGTTCATCGAGTAGGTCGAACAGGAAGAGCTGGTAGGACTGGAATTGCTATATCAATATTTACCCGTCAAGACTGGATGCATGCTGAAGGTTTAATCAGGATCCTTGAAGAGGCCAATCAGTTTGTCCCTGATGAGTTATATGATATGGCAAATAGATACAGAGCATGGAGACGTAAGAAAGAAGCAGAAGATGCAGCTGTAGGTGGTAGACGTTTCCGTGGTGGAGGTAGATCGCGTCGATTTTGAAACCTTTAATTTATTAGGTACCAAGAATTATTGTGTGCTAAGGTAGGAATATGGGCTTTACCATTAAGATAAACTTTTTATTTAAGCTATTTATCATCGAAATCTTTTTCTGGCTGTATGTTGTTGACTAAAATTTAAAAGAAAAATATACTTTTTTTTTTTTTTTTTTTTTTTTTCTATTTCTGTATGCAATTTGTTTTTGAGAAATACATATTTAACCTGTACAAAGATTTATATTCTTTTTTATTATTGTCATTATTATTAAAAGGATATAACAACTTCCATGTCCTGACAGCATTTATGCTTTTAAATGGGAACTTTTGTAGGAACAGATTATTTTGCCCTTCCATCATTTATCAGTAACCAAGATCTGAATTATTTAAAAAAAAAGGCAAAAATTATATTTTTAAATGGAAAACATGGTAGAAAATGAGTTCATTAAACTGTAAACTTTTGGTGAAATTACTAACATGTTTGGTTACTTGTTCTAAACCTGCCTTAAAACAGAAAAATTTTCTTTTTTTTTCACTTTTATAGCCTTGATTTTTACATTATATGCTTAATTTTTACATTGCATGCTAATGATTACTAAAGTTATTTTTTGATATTATTAATATTTTATGTTTTTATATCTTTGACATTCATATGCTTATAATTTCTAAGCTAATTTTTTATTTTTATTATTAATAAAAAGTTTTTCTTTATGTTCTTTAATTAAAGAGATTTGTATGAATTAATATGAGAATAAGCAGTATTGTGTGAAGTAACTTTTTTGTTACTCTATATACTTTTAATTAGATCATTTGGAGAAAATATAAATTTAATGGTTTTATATATATT